CTTCGGACCTCAATTTTTATCCCTACTTTTCCGTAAAATCCCGTTTTTTTCGAAATTCTAATGAAGGCATGCCAAAATAATGCTAATTTTTTTAGCACCATAATAGTGAAGGCATAAAATGAAAGTAGTAATTTTGTGCTTTAGAACATATTATTGAAGTGCAGACCGCATCCACATGCATGTAGGCATCCACATTCCATCTGTTCGGAACAGAATACCGCAAAAAAAGCATGATTGTGCGAGTTTTGCGTGGCGCGAGTAACAGTTTTCTTTATTCGTAGCAGTTTAATAAGTAATATACGCTTTTTCTAGGAAGTGGTATTGCCTGGCACGGTGCTTGCGTAATGTTCAGTATGTCGGATTCGTGGGGCCACGATCAGGTTGGATCGCAGTGTCAAATGCCACAGACAACTCATCGCGCTCTTTCTACACCATTCTCCTTGTTTGGTTTAGGGCGATCCCCAAATTTCGTTGATTATGGTAATATTTTTTGGATTTTTTAGCTGAACAGCATCAATGACTAGCAAGAAATAACGACGAAACAACAGCTGATCATAGTATCAAAGTAGTTAGCTACAAAGATTATTTTGGAAGGGGAGGAGGAAGAGGCCATTGAATTTATTCACATTAGCTATATGTGAATAAATTTAATGCGATGCGTTCGACAAACAATCGTTTGTAAATATTTATTGGAATGAGCTGGCATCTACGAGATAGAAGAGGAGGGAGGGAAGGAGGGGGGAGGAAAAAGGGTGACAAAAGGAGCTGGAAAAGAAAAAGCGAAAATTTTATTTGTGCCAAGTTCTGTTAAGTAGAAACCTTGCACGGGGTCCAGCAGAGTTCAGTGATAATGTATAATGATACAATCATAATAATGATGACATAATGGTAATGTGTAATGATATAATCATAATAATGGTGGCATGGTGATAATGTATGATGATATAATCGTAATAAAATGATAATTTATATAATGAAATCAAGAGTCTTGAGTTCAAAGATACAGAGCGAATTTAGTTTTAAGTGCGATCATTCTTGGACGTTTTGCCACTTTATTACTCCTCCTGATCGTTGCATTTTATTCTCCTGGTAAGCGTTTATGAAGGAAATATTTGACGTGGAATTAATATAACTCA